TCTCTGCTTTTCTTTCAGGATGCTCATGAATTCCTAACATTGTTCCTCAATGAGGTCAAAAGGCTCACACCTCACCTGGAGAGGAACGCAGCTCTCCTGGGCCAAAGTTATACCTGCCCAGTAGAAGACCATCACATTTTTAAAATGGAAAACACGAGGACATGCAAGAGGTAAGCCTGTCTTTCAGAAACGCAGAGCGGGTTGCAATATTTTCATATACCTCTTTTCCACCTACCTGATCTTTACTTTAACTGTGTTACTCCTGAAATGTGTAGCTGCAGTCACCAATCATCACAGCAAGAGGAATTCACCAGCTTGTCTCTTGACCTGGTTCCAGAGGGGTCTGTTATAAACATGTTGGAGACATACTTAAAGGTAAGATCACAAATTCCAATAGAGTTGTAGTATCAGCGATCTTAACACACCTTTTTTGTTAGTGTTTGTGTGCATGTGTGTGTGCATATGTTGAGATTTCTTTCTACCATAAAGCCTGTTTTCTCTGTGCTGTTGTTCAGGAACAAGAAATAGAATTTCGCTGTGATTGTGGAGGGACGACCTCAGAACTGAAGTCGTCTTTTGATACACTGCCAAGGTGAGTAAGGTCACATCAGAATCGACTGACCAGGTTTCCAAACTGTGGCGCATCAAATATCAGAGTTTTTCGAGACTTGAGCAGTCGTTTTCTCCCATCTTCTGTTTGTGTTTGACACTCATTCTTCTTATTTTCTACCTTGTTTGTTTTCTTTTCTACCAGAGTTCTCATCTTGCATCTGAAGAGGTTTGGCTTTACACAAACCTACAAGATTCAGAAGGTTGATGACCCCGTCAGGCTGCAGAGGGACTTGGTGGTGCCATCCAATCAGGTAAAAACAGACTGCAGAACGTCTCAGGCTACGTCCACACTAACCCTGATAGATTTGAAAACTCTACGTCCACACGAGCGTTTTCAGTCATTTTCAAATAGTTGTGCGTCCTCATTGAAACGGCCGAAAACGCTTACGTTCCAGTCCTGCGCAAAAGCGAGTGAGAATTAAAAGATTTGAAGAAAAGCTATCCGGAGCATGTACACATCTTTTTTAGGGCTGTCAAAATTGAGAGCAATCAAAACAACTGCTGTATAATGCACTCCGCTATCTTTGTTTAATTGCTCACATGACTGCATCACATAACTAAAATGCGTCATTGTTTTAGAAAGTCTGCGTTTTCGAGTGTCCACACTGCGATGGGACAGCTCCGGTTTGAAATGTATACGGTTTGAACTGATGCTCTGTTTTTCCTTGAGGAAAACGCCGTCTCAGTGTGGACGGGAGGTCAAAGCGGAGAGAAAACGATGTGTTTGCAAACAAAAACACATTAGTGTGGACGTAGCCTCAGCAAATCAGCTTAATTATGGCACTGATGTGAGACTTTATGAAACTAACACTCTTTGGATTTGTTCCTTCTCAGGGTGGTGGCTGTTACAGTCTCGCCAGCATCATTAGCCATTATGGAGGCACAGAGTCAGGTAAAACAACAGACTTGTTACAAACAGAAAATGAAAACTTGCTACTTTTGAGTGAAGGACTCACACACAAAAGCTTTTGATGTTCTAAGAAGCACTAAGTCAAAATCACTGTTTGCTTGAATCAGTTGACTTCCAGAAGTTGGATTCATTTGTCTTAATGTGATTTCAGGACACTACATCTGTAATTCTGTCCATCCTGAGGTGAGTCAGCACTCTACATCAGATCGCTGGCTCACCTATAATGACGCACAGGTGCTCCACACAACTGGATCTGCAGCTTGTGAGGAACAGCAGCACTCGGCCTACATCCTGTTTTACAAGAGAAACGTAAGAAGACACAGCATCTCATCCTGAAGTGAGAGAATTTTTAATTGTCCTGTTACCTTGTTGACCAGCTTTGTCTTCATTCTCAGTTCTGAAACAGGAAATGGAAGGAAGGAAGTTAAGGTCACCATCATGCTGAGAAGGAACAACAGTTGTCCCAGCCCACCATCGCACACTGGAGGACAAGTATTAGTAAGTATTGCCCTCAGGAGGAAGGGTCCTACCAGAGAGCCTGGTTCCTCCCAAGATTTCTTCCTCCAGGAGGGAGTTTTTTCTTGCCACCGTCGCCCCACATTCACTGGTCTCATCAGCAGGGACATTTTTAACCTCCTAAGACCTGAACTCTTTCATGGCATGCATTTTTAATTTCTCTGTGCCATTTGGGTTGATTGGGACCTGATGAAAGTAAAAACAAAGACATCAGATTCGGACTATCTTCTTTTTTGTTTCTCAAAAGAATGAGATCCACATATGATGACGTTCATTTTAAATTTCGATTGAACAGTGGAAGTGTAATGTCCTCCCTCATAAGTGGATATCAGGTTTTTGAAGAGCAAAATTTTGCATTTTGGTCTAGACAACCCAAAACATTATGTCCACATATGTGGACACCAGGTCCTAGGAGGTTAAAACAAAATCTACTAGTAGTGCACCACTACTAGAGATCGTCCTTGTCTGGACCAGTGTTTGGCTTGCTCTCTGGGAACAACAAATAAATAAATTAATAAAATAAAATAAATTAATAAATTAATAATAATATAAATGGTAAATGGCCTGCATTTGTATAGCGCTTTACTCAGTCCCTAAGGACCCCAAAGTGCTTTACACATGTCATTTTAACTAATGACGTTAACGCTGACAGCACTAATTTTATTGTTATTATTATTAATATTATTATTAATTTATTTAATTTTATTAATTTATTTGTAACATAAATTAAATTTAAAAAAATATTTTATTGTTTTTTTTGTTTTATTAAAATCAAAATAACAACAAAAACAAAAATAACTAATAAAAAAATAATAAAAGTATTCAGCAGTGTTTTGTGAAATTTGTAATGAGCCTTAGTTAAGTTGATGTCACAGAAGTTTCTGAATCATTTAGATTGTTCAACAAACCGATTCACTCAGGTAAAGACGGTAAGCTGGAGCAATGGTACCCTTGGAGTTCAGTTGAAGTTTTCAGACAAACATTCCCTCGATCAGTTGCAGCTTCTGCTTTTAAATAAATGATTTAGCTGCAAATGTTTAGCTGCAGGTAGCAAAGTCCAAAAGTGACAACATTTCCACTGCAGTCTCTCCAGAAATGGCTTATAAAATTTTGACCAAATTAGATATTTATCCTGGGACCATTGACAACCCTGTAGGGTGAAAATCTTTAATTGTACCTTTTATAACATTTTAACAAATTGCTGTCTCCTGCTGCATGTTTGCAGTTTTGGCTGAACTTCATCAGCTCAAAAAACTCACCGTGCTGTGATGTACTAAATGACCTCATGTACAGGACACACTGAAAGCAGCTTTGCAACGTTTAATTAACAAAGTCAAGATCAGTTAACAACAGCTGAACTAAAGACTTTCTTTTTCTCATCGATAAAATGAGGTCCATGCCAATGCGCTCAAATGGGACCTCCATTAATGGTGAGGGGCATAAAGGCGCTTTTTGAATGACTAGCTGGTTCACCAGCTGACACCACTGGACGCACACCATCGGCGCACATCCAAACATGCAAAAAATGCAAGATGGTGGTGCGCACAGATACAGCGGCTCTATCCTCTCCACTTACCCAATTTCGCTGTGCAAGAAACTGCACAATGACAATAAAAAGCTCTAAGTCTAAAACAGTTTCCTGGCCAGTAAAATCAGGCAATTATTTGCTCCAGAGTTTTATCTTATTCCAGGTGACCAGCCATCGACTTGTGATGAGTCAGCTAAAACAATAATTTCTCAGTGGCTCTTCTGGCACCAACAAGTGGGTGTGTTCTTCCATTGTGCATGTGTCACGACACACTGAACATGGTCTGTCCCTACTCGTTACAACATGTGGAAATGTCAGTGCTATGTCAGCGCGCACTATTTGACTATCAGCTCTCATCATTTGATCAAAGGGCCAGTTGCATAATGCCATTATCTTCTGTGTAGCGAATTGCTGGAACGGGCAACCCAAACGCCACGTGTCCCTATTGGTGGTGTGTGCAGG